CGTGCGCCGCCGAGAGCCGCTGTCTGTGCCGCTGCTTCGGGAGCCGCTCCGTGCCCGGCAGCGCCGAAGCGCGCCCAGTCACGGGCACCGGCCAGGCGAGGAGCGCTGCTCCGCTGTAGATGGTTGGTGCTGCTCAGTTATACCCTCGAGGGGTATAATCGTCACCACTCATGATTAGAGAAAGCGTTTGTATATGAAACCTGGCGTTTAAAAAATAAGTGATCCGGATGAGAAACAGCAGCCTTGCAGTGTTAGTTTCCAATAGCTGCGTGCAAAACCCCACCTCTCTTAATCTCCCTCCCTCCATTTACATTAACAGTTTAACCACTTCACTTTTAAAATACCTCCTCCTATTGACCAAAATCCAAGCATCCATGTATCCTAATACAGGACCAACCTTCTTTACTGTTTGCCAGAGACTGCAAATTACAGCTTTCCTTTTGTACATTCAGGTTCAAAACCAAACAGTCCTGGCACAAAACAGTGAAACTGACGGAATTACATCGGGGATAAGCCGGGCTTTTGAAATTTTACGTCTTATGTAATAAGTGGCTACGGGCCATAATGCTCCTCCCCAGTTTCCCATTCAGTGTGTTATTACAGAGGAAGCTGAATCTCCCAGAGGGTCACCAAACTATGAAATATAAGGCTTTAGAAGTGAAGAATGCAGATAAACTGAGATCCCTCCTGTTAGAAAATCATATACTCTAGTTACGGGTGATTATCTGATAAGATAGGTGTAATGGCTTTAAACTGGAAGATTAGATTAGATATCAAGAAGACATTCTTCCCTGTGAGGGTGGTGAGGCACTGGCAACAGGTTGCCCAGATCTCTGGCTGTTCCATCCCTGGAAACATTCAGCGTTGGATGGGGCTTTGAGCAACCTGGTCTAGTGGAAGGTTCCCTGCCCATTGTGGGGGTGTTGGAACTAGACTATCTTTAAGGTCCCTTCCAACCCAAACCAAACATTCTATTCTATGAAGCATTATTAAGAAAATAATTATGCAGTGAAACTTGAGAAGGTTAAGATCAACTGCTTTGTTTCAGCTGAGCAGTACTGTATCTGTAGTGTATTAGCATCTCAGTTCAGATTTGCACTTGCTTCTGGCAGGGAGAAAGGCTAGAAATGTGGGTATGGGCTGGGGCAGAACCTCCCCTTGAGTGTTTGGCCTCTCTCTGAAACACAGTCAACAAAGGATAAGAAGCAATTCCTTCACAGATGACCCTGTTGTCCCAAATACCTGCTTTGGCAGTTGTCAATGCTACTAGCAGCTTTGATTTCATCACCACCCCCTCACCCTCACAAGTTCGTTGGGGCAAGGAGACTCGGAAATTTCAGGTAAAAACATTTTGGTCCCACACAGAACTCTTGTCACAAAACCATTTAGGCTATTGGATGCTGTGTTTAATTTGTTGTCTGAAAAAGCCACAAACATACTTTTAGGAATATGCAGGGAGACATTTCTTAATTTTCTGCTGCTCTTGTTTTTTTAGAACTGCTCTGTTCTACATTGTAATTTTTAAAATAAATCATATCTGGTAAAGAGAAATAGACTTTACAGCCATGGGAGAAAGCAGAACATCTGCTTTATCATGTTATCTGTGGCACAGTACAAATGATGCTCTGATCCTTGTTCCTAGGCCTGACTTAACAAAATACATGATAGAATAAATCGGATGTCTCTGCTCATCCTGGGCCTGCCACCTCCTAGTACTGAATTCAGCTCTGGCAATGCATGTCCCAGAGCCCACCTACAGCACCAGGGAGTGCTTGGAGCAGCTGCTCATCACAGCCTGTAGGATGAAACTGGCACAAAGGCTAACACAGACAAGAAAACCAGAAGATGCTGGATGAGATTAAAAAGTTGCCTGCATTTAGAAGATTTGTCATGATTAAAAGCTGGGGGGAAGGGGGGAGGAATACTGCAACAGTAAGACAAAGAAAACCCATCAAATCAGAAAGCAAAACAGCTCTTGCTGCCAGGAATGGGGGCTGAAAACTCTAAATTAGTTTTAATACTAAAATGAAACTCCAAATAGGGCAGATCACTGAAATAAAATATTCCTTAAACATGGCAAGGCCAAAGCAGACTTTAAAGCCACTGAAAAAAGGTGAAGGATTGTATCTCTACATGACTAACCATGACTTTATACTTACTGCTGTTTTCCTACACAAACACTAGCTGTTGTCTCTGCCAACTGTCTGCATAATCACCACATTGTATTTTTATTCACAATAATCTCTTTGAAAAGCCTTCCATGTGATTGGTCCTTTTTGTTGTTTTTTTTTCTAGGGTTGGGGTTTTAGTTTGGGGTTTTTTTCATTCTTCTAATTTGTCATTCAAACGTGTGACTAAATACTGAGATACTGACATGCTGATGCCAGATTTTGCAAGAAGGGTATTTGCTTGCCAGAAAGGTATCTTATTTAGTCTAGTGAGCTGTCATGATTCCTTGTCTGACTGACTTAAGAGTTGACTTTCCTATTGCAGTTTTAAGGTAATTTTGGACCAGAGAAGACAGTTTGCCTTTGCCAGACAATGCTGCACAAAGGTTCAGGTGCAAACAACTGCACAACCACATGAAGATTTTTGTACAGCCTTACATATGTTACACACCTCTAGGGTTTCTATAACAGAGGATACATTGAACAGGTTGTTGAAGGGTGAATGCTCTTAAACCTAAGGTTAGGGGTTAGGCATGAGACCCTCAAGCCACAGCCACCGTCTGAAAAGCTGGTGACTTCCAAACCTCTGTGGTGGTTCCAGGATGATTTTTCAGGTGCTTTATGTCCCTTTCTGCAAGCTGAAAGGGTGCAGCAACACCACACTGCCTTGGGGGGTGTACCACGAGTCTCTTCACTCTCGGTAGCGATACAGGGGCATGACTTCTCTGAGGTACTGGCTGCTATGTTGAAGAACTTAACAGCAACTTCGGCTTATCCTTCTAGACTTGTAAAAGATAATGTCTTTCAGGGCTTACACACTGTATTTCCTGCAATATTACTCCCTGCTTTCAGCTAGGATCTCTGAAAAACTCTCAGCAAATACCTAATTGTTGAAGGGACTAGATAAGTTGTTGAACGGACAAGAAGTAACGCAAGGAAGAAAAAGCAGGTAAAAATAAAAGGAAGTGGGCAAGGACAACAATAGATAGATAAACCCACCATGTGAAATACTCTGAGCTATGGCTTTTGAGCTTCTTTGGCATGAAATGCTCCCGTGGGATGAGCCCGTTCAGTGCATCTTCTGACACTGCTGGCCCCCCCGGCTGTGCTGAGCAGTGCGCTCGCTGTGTCCGGCCGCCCTCTCTCTGCGGCAGGCAGGGCTGCACTGTGGCTGAAGCCCTGAAAACGGGCGTACTAGTCCTGAGGATCACAAAACAAAGTAGGAAAGGGGGACGTGACAGATTAAAAATGAAAGTCAGAAAATTTTTGGAGCAGAGCAAAGGAGTATCAGGTACTCCCGCGCCTTCATTTTTTTTAAGTGTTTAAGTTGACAGGCACATAGAGTAACAAATCCTCAAATGTCTCATTTTTCCAAGGGAGAAAAAAAATTGGACAAGCACTGGCCTGGGACAATAAGGGCATTTACAGCAATTTTTTATTCCATCACTTATTAAAACTGATACCACTTAGCATTAAGTATTCTTTATCCCCACAGGAAATGTATTTTCTGCAAGGCATTATTGTAAAGTAAAAAACCTACAAGTTGCTTCTTACAAATGCAGCATGTTCTTTGGCAGGTCAGTCCATCTGGAATGACTAACTCTGATTACAGGGAGGAGTTAAGAGCTTGAACCCACCAGTTTTTATTTGGGAAGATTCTGTAGCCTTTTGCAAGGGGTTCAGTATTATCCTTGCAGGACAGGCACAGAGCAGCAGCATACCCCAAATCAAGTTTTTGTTTTTATTTGTAAAATAGGAACATTAGTCATGGTACTACCCTCATGTTTACTTTAGTAGTTACTTCTGGTTATGGTGTTTCTGATCTCAGGGATCATGGTTGTTATGGCTATGGTGTTGCTGATTTCACCTAGTTTTGCTGAATCTGCTTATTTTCTAGTACTATCAGATTCTGAACCAAATGTTAGTTTTAAAATCTGAAGAAGGACCTTAAATGGAACTAACAATAAAGCACAACTTAAAGAACATCCCCTCACCCCACCCCCAAATTAATGTAGTGAAAGAACCCAGAAAGCAGTATAACTTATGGCAGAATATCAAAAACCACAGTATGTCATTCTTCCCCTGCACATAATTATGAAAAAGATACCATTATAGTAAAATCCAAGATGTGAAAGCACCATGGAAGTGTATAGAAATGAAAAACACTAGTTGAATAAGCCACAGCTAACAAAAAAAGGCGGACCATTAAATAGTACATAAACGTTGGCAAACAATCCAGTATTGCTTTGAGTATTTCAAGACTAAGAACAAAAGAGACCTTTGGCTCCTCTCATCCAATCCTTCCAACAATGAAGACCACTGAAGTTCACCACCTTAGCCTTATGTTGAGTCCAACTTGTCTAAAGCTTGCCTTCTAAGAAAGCACCTTGTGTTATCTGGCAGACATTAGGGGGGTTTGTGATTCAATAACTTCCTCAGTTTATTTTCCTAAGTATTAACCAGCTGTACTACATTTTGAAGGGGTTTTTTTGTGGACAGAGATTTACATCACTTAATTGAAAAACATGTTTTATTATACCTTTAAAAATGTAATGCAGACTGTTACCTCAGAAAGCAATAGGATAAAAACCTTTATTGTTCCACCTTCGTCAGAGTTCATTTTCTACGGATATGCGTTTTTGTAACATAATTTTGTTACATTAGAAACTTCAGCTCCTCAGAGGCTTAATGTGGAGTAGCAAAAAAGCCCTTCAAAACCAATTCAGTCCCACATCTTCAAGTAATATACCACTTGGGCACAAGGAACCTCTAGTATTAGAATCAGCTAGATCTTCCACCTCCTCCCTTTCCTGCGTTCTTTGTCCTCAATTCATGCCAAGCTTTCACCAGTGGTTCTCTGTTCTTCCATATGAGCTCATGGCCATAAGTCACGTACCACCTGAGAAAGAAAATAATAGTTAAAATTAACTGCAACTTTTCTTTGCATCTGAGAAAGAATAGGTTGATCACTAAAACCAAGTACAAGCTTGGTATAGAAGACAAGATAAACTGAGGCACAAAGAACAACATGTTTGGAAAGTGGCAGGTAAGCCACTTGTTCTCTTGACTCCAAACAGTTTACTTTGTGTTCTTGCTTATTTCAGTCCTGAGAATGAATAGTTTTTTCATGCCTTTAATCTTGTGATTTTGTGATTTCTTAAAAAGACACATAAAACTACCTCCACTTAGGAGACTGTTAAAACAGTTCTGTTGCTTGTGCTAATCTTTACTGACAACACCAAATAAAAGTGGTTTTCTCCTACAAAAATACAACTGCCCCATAATGAACAGCCACATTCCACTCAAAGTGCATTTTCTTCCATAAGCATCTAAATGAAGATTTAATCTATCTAAGTGTTCTAGCTTAATTTATATTCATAGACAACTATATATTCTGATATATGAATATCAACATACGTGATAAGGGAGGTTATGGTGCAGAGGAGAGGCATGAGGAGAAGCAACCACATGGAAATAGGTTGAAGGTTCTCCCACAAACCTGACTCCACACCTGAGTCCTGAACAACAAAAGCACTTTTCTCAGGGAAACTGGTCACTTTCCAAAGCAGACAACTGTCTGGGAGGCAATATATAAAAAATACTTTGGCCATTCAACACATGCCCTAAATAAAGGCCCTGTTTTAGGATAAAGTGACCAAAATGATCACAGAGTAGAACAAACAGGTAAAACAGTGTAGGTGAGGAAAGCAAGAGACTTGTCAACTCAAGATAGTTTTTACTGCAACTGCCATCCTTTTTCAGTATGTGAATCTGCATTATAATGCAGATTGTTCATTCACTTGTGATGCCAGAGAAGGGGAGGAGACTGCAGCACAGAACTTACTGACACCAAAGCCAAGACATGGCAAATACTTTGGTCTACAAACCGGTTTGCCGTTAAATCTGGCCTAGTGAAATCTCAGGCAGGCTTTTCAAATGCCTACCTAACATGTTTAAAAAGGCTCTTAGCAATCGTGTGCCAATTAAGACAATGCTGCAATTGGGTTGAAGGGAAAAAACTCGCAATGTAGTTGAAACATGGAACAATACAGAACTGCTTCTTACAAACTTGTTTCTAGTAGTTCTTACTAATTAGGAAAGGTCCACACAAAGGCAGCGCAACAACACTGAGAAAACAGCAGTACAGGCTGCCCAAAGGAATTTGGCCTGTGCTTATATTAACTCTGTAGCTCTCTCTAAATTGGCAATTAGAGGAAAAACACTGAGACAAAGGCATTTTCTTAGCTGTTTAAAGTTATTTTAATTTGTCCATGCTGTTTCGTGAGAATCTTTTCTGCCTTGTGACTCTCTTCAATGTTCTGGGAAGAGCTGGACAGCTAGCCAGCTCAGGTTATGGTGACAGGAAAACCTTACATGTAATCTATGATTCTAAGGCAGTTCAGCTCAATTCTTCCAGTCCTAAGCCTCTGTTAACAGCATTTTCCACAGAATTTTATAGCACTACAAGAACAACAGTGAGTTGTATTCAATGCTAGTTAAGAAAACTTTCAAAAAAAACCACTGTACTTCAGTAATAATAGGAAGTGAAGAGGAAAAAATACAGGATTGATTTAAATACAAAACAAACACAAGTTAGTAAATACAGACTTACATTCCAAAGAGAGCTCCCCCAAGGTGTGCAGCATGGTCAAAAAGTCTCCAGCCTAAAGCAAGTCCTGCAGTGTCAAATGCAATTATGGCTTTTAAAGCCTAGAAAGGAAGAGAACATGGAATGGACAGGACCGGTCACAGCACAAAAAATGGCCACTGATAACAGTTTTCTATTCTGGCACAGAGCAAGTATTTGGGATCAACAAACATCATATATATTTTATATCAAATGAATCACTATAAAAAATACATTGTTTTAAAACAACATACTCATTCCTCAGCTGTACTGTGCTGTGAAAATAGACCTGAGCATCTACAGAATAGTGCAGGGTAGGAATGTGTCCTTTTCAAACAAAATACATTTCAAATTCAGATCAGGAAAAAGACAGAAGTTACCTGAAAGAGTACATGCTATAAAAGACACCACAAAACATGTAATTGCAGCATTCTCATTCTCTAATTCTGATGTAGCTTAGATTTATGTGCATCTGTCCTCCCAAACTCAACCCTCTAGTGGATGGAACATGTGGGGCAGACCCTGTTATCTGACATAAATTGATCATCACACTCTAGTTCTAAAGGGTATGTTTGTTAGAAGACAGAAAATCAGGATGACAGTTAACATGAGCAATGGTGTACCATCCTCAGGAGACATAAGCCACCATAACTGTCAATACACAAAATTTTACTAGATGGTCCATTTCATAAAGACCAACAGATTTAATGTTAGGATTAAATGTTACTTTAGGCAGGAATTCTTTCCTTTAAAATATGTATTAGAATAGCAGCTCTATTGCTACATTGGCTTGTTTATTTTAGAAGCCCATTACAGTATAGGTAAGGTAGGCTAAAGGAGTATGTAAAGTTACATACAATTACATAAAAGGGCTAAAATTATTCCTACTGCAATAGCCAATATTGCTCTTGCTCTGCTGTTGCAATGAGTACTTGATCATGGCAACGCTCTCTGTGGCTCTGCCAATATTTCTACCCTGGCCATCTTTTCTAAGAAAGATACCATTAAAGGGTGGCATGCAAAAAACCCACATCCACTCAAGCAGAAGTGCAAGGAAAACACAAAGGCTACAACTAAGAACACTTGTTCAAATATGTAAGTTTCCCTTACAAAAAGTATTAAATTTCACGATCTTGGAATGATGTGGCTTAACTGCTTTAAGCAGTAAAACAACTTTAAGTACAGGACCAAAGATGATTAACTTATTAAAACAAGTTAAGATCTACATAAGCAGCTTTCCTTAAATGTGGAAGTGGATGTGCATAAAAAACCTTAATGAAACAAAAAAAAGAGTCCTAGTACTACACACGAAGGAAAGTTTCAGTGGTCTATTATTAATCCCACAAGTGTTCTTAAAAGCATCAAAAGATGATATCTAAAAGAGGAGACAAATATTCCTCCAGGGCTGGAATGTTATCTCCCATGAGAAATGAAGCTTTTCTTTAAAGGCAGTGTGCCAGTATTAGATTAGCCTGTTACTAGTGCTGCTACCAAAAATATCACTCATCAGAAAGAACAGGATGTGGATGCAAGGTTTCCTCAGACAGGCAAACCTGACTCCCTCCCAACTTCTTTCACCTCTTGGGATCAGATTTGAAACAGACCCATGGATGATGGGATTTAGGATAGCTCTAAATTCACTCCACACTGGTGTAGTGACTTCCAGGTTGCAACAATTCTGATTAGTCCCCACGACTTTCATGACCTGCACTCTCTTTCAAAATAAAATTAACAGCTTAGAAACACAAAAGAAGAGGACACCTGCTCAGATATTGGAGAGGTATGGGGAAATTATTTAAAGAGTAGAATTTCTTTGAAGTTCAGTGGCACTTACGCTTCCTGCTGTAAATGTGAACATTGGAAGAAGTATGATGGCCAGTTTTGCTTCGGGCATCTTTGTACATACGGCTGCAAGGACAGTCATTATAGCTCCTGACTGTAAATACATTAAAAGACATCAAAGTAAGCTGAGATGTTACATAAAGGAAAAATTATTTTCCTGCATGTGAACCCCTTTTCCTTTTGGGCTTTTATTTTCAAATGCAGTTCTGTGGTAATACTCTAAGTACAAAGCACCAGAGCAAAGTTCAAAATAAAAATAAACCAAGACAACATTATTTCATTTCAATATCTGAAATTATAAGTACTGGGAATACATTAAAAGACATCAAAGTAAGCTGAGATGTTACATAAAGGAAAAATTATTTTCCTGCATGTGAACCCCTTTTCCTTTTGGGCTTTTATTTTCAAATGCAGTTCTGTGGTAATACTCTAAGTACAAAGCACCAGAGCAAAGTTCAAAATAAAAATAAACCAAGACAACATTATTTCATTTCAATATCTGAAATTATAAGTACTGGGAAAAAAAAATATCCCTCAAATGCTCTTACATAATTAAGAAATACCCACCCCCACCCCTGTTTTTAAGATAACAATTTATGTAAATGTGCTTTCACCCAAGTAAGCCCTGGAAATCTAACATAGATTAATCAAATGAAGGGAATAATTCTGAAGCTTGTACAAAATCAAGGAAAATAACAGATGGACAGGGACAAAAATCTTTTGTCAATGAAACAAGTAATTCCCTGGACTGTACTAAATTGACCATGGGGTTTTGTATCCATAAAATAATCACAATGGAAAGATTCTGAACACAGTAAACTAATGCAATGTGTAGCAATTTCAGTAAGTTCAGATCAGTAAGACTAAGGGAAAGTGACTTGCTCCAGACATAGTTATTCATAAGATAAAGGGACAATACACAGCACTTTTAAAAATTCTAACTGCTGCACAGCTAAACAGATTTTTTTTTTAATTTCAGTAGAAAAATGAGAATCCAACTTTTGGCTTTTATCAAAATTATTTAGTAAAGTAAGTTAAGAAGCAAATGCCTATGTTAATCTCAAACTTAAAGCAAGTTAAGTGTTTCAAAACGTTCTACTACTAAAAACACTTGTAAAGAACTCGCAACCACAAGAGCTCCTCAGCCTGCCTCACATCTTTCATCCAGTGAGATTTTTGGCAGGAGTGCTGCCCTTCCTGCACAGCATGCCCTACAACTTTCACTGGGATCACACGCTGAGTTTGATTGTCTGATTACATATCTCTTTCTAAAGTATTCTATTTTCAATTAGAGAAGACTGATACACAATTATGAAATACTGTTTCTACAATAAGTTACATAACTGATCTGCTCAGACACAAGAGGTCCTGCTGTTAAGGACCTATTTACAACCCTTAGCATTAAGTGGCATTAGTTCTGGGTGGCTGCTGCAGCAGAATCAAACATACTGGATGAACAGGAGAACCAGTTCTTGCCTGGGTACTTGATTTTGGTTAACCTTCCTAATTTTCATTATCTCCCATATATTCTTGGCTTTTAAGCAGGTTAAAAAATACAGCAGACTTTCAAAATGGCTTCAGAGATCACTGCAAGGTCTCTCACATTCCAAGATACTTACAGCTCCAAGGGATGGTTCAAACCTTCCAGTGGCCATTTTAGCAACATAACTGACAAAAGTGGAGATAACCCCTAAAAAAGAGAAATTACTATTGGAAACAATGCTAGCAATGCAGACAAGCATCAGAAAGCACAAACTAACTGTCACCTTTTCTCACAAAACTTACGTAAGTCTGTATTTTGGTAGCAAAGCATGAATTAAAAACAGACATGGTTTTATCATGGTATTTTGAAGCCCAGTATCCTAAATCTACCAAAAATCTGTATAACAGCAAAGAAGTACTGCTTTTAATATAGAGCAATGGCCATCAGTCATCATACGACTGTTAACCATGCACACTCTTTCCTTGCATGAATACATATTTATATTTTTAAGTATATATTTTATATATTACCAGCAGAAAGATATACTGCAATGAACTGCTCGCATCCCAGAAGAGAGACAATGCTGCTGGAAAAACTCCATAAAACATACATATTTGCTGCCATGTGGAACAGAGAGAAGTGACTAAACGTAGAGAGCAGCATGGGAGAACACAGGGCTTCTACAAAAGAGAAAAACAATGAACATAAAGAAGTCAGTGCTTTAATTTACTTCAACTTACATGTCAACTTGCATGCAAACTAGACATTTATCAAGACATACTGGGGCTAATTATGCTTGGATTCTCAAATACAAGCTACGATATAAACCCAGAAACAGAACAAATTTCAAATTCCGTTCAACACCTTTGGAAAGGTAGAACATACACCCCAGAGATATGCAAGCTGCACTGTCTTAGTTACCTACAGGGGATTGTTTCATAGAAAACATTTATCTTATGACATGTGTCCTATGCTTTGAAAAAGGAAAAAAATATATTTATATATGTATATAGCGAAAGCTATATAAAATTAACTTGCTACAGAGATGAACTCATAAATCAAAACCAGTTTTATTTTCAAAAAGCTACTAGCTCTCCTCACTGAAACAACAGCCCTGAAAATGCAAACAAGCCAATTAGCAGGTTTTAAGGTCAGCATTATTTAAAACATGAGTGTTTGGGGTGACATGCTCAGATCTGGATAACAGCTATCTTTAGCTTTGGAGCCCGTAGAGGAACTAGCTGAATTTCCACTTTTTCAGCAGAAATTAAGAGGATAGCAGGAAGTACTTTCCAAATACATTTGTCTCATCCTTTTAGTTCTTTGCAGTAGAAATGAAAACCAATTGTTCTGCTATTAAATACCATAACTTGCTTTCCTAAGTTAATCTCTTCAATACATTTCACACACAGTGAAAGAAAAGTCTGTGCTTAGTTTGTTTTTTTTTAATGTGACTCAAAGCTTTGAAACAAGGACCCCATACACAACATACAGACTAACGTTTGTCTACGGACAAAAGCGCACATGCCTGTGACTGTTCTATCTGCTCCCACTGAACATTAATCATTTTGAGTCTAGTTTTTGAATGGCATTATGTAATACAATTTATTTTTCTTCTTCCTAAAGAGTGGCTTGATTTGCACTCTGTCCAGCAAAGCAGCTGGGGTCCGAATCACTGGGAGGAGTGCCTCTTCACCTTCACACAGGTAGGGGCTGCATCCCACTGAATGCAGGAAAAGGCCGGATAGCAAGCAACAGTTTTGGTGTTACAATATTTAGAAAAGCACCAGTTTTTTAAGACAAAAGTTTGTCTTAAAAAATCAGATCCATTGCTTCTAGTTTTTTCCCCTTAAACCATCTCCTGCCCAGACAGAACGATGTGTTTGGGCACGACTGAGATTGCTTGTGGGTGACAGAGCTACAAGTGAGCCATGTGCCACCTGAAGCTTCTGCAGTATCATCAGACCTTCTATTACATCCCTACGGAGGAAAATCACTTAAATTACTGTTCACTTACTGGAGGATGGATTTGAGGTGAAATATGTAAACATAATCCGTCGCATGCCGGGCAGCCTCCACAAACAGAATACAAAGGCATTTGCAGCTATAATACCTATTAAGAGAGAAAAATAAATATAAAAGCAAATTATGAATGTAACACACTGTAGTGGTTACTGTAAAAAAGTATTTAAAAGGAAGCCTACAAGAATTATACTTTTTCTTCACAATTCCATAAAAGCAGTATACACTTCTTACTTTGCATAGAGTTTAGAAAAAGCAAAGAAAAATACTGAAAGCTACATTTACATAGTGGAAGTCTTTCAGAAAATATGGCATTTAATTGCAAATGTTTTAATATAGTGTAATGAACACAATAGTCCAGAAAAATCTGTGCTGAGAACATTCAAGCTATGGTTTCAAACTCCTATTCCACTGCAGAATCAACGAAATAGGAGCCAGCTAAGAGGTCCCATTTCCTGCTCATCTAGCTTTTTATTCTCCAGTGGCACTGTCTGCTGCACAGTTTCATTTAACTGCATAAGGAAAGAAGACTGTGGGAGCCCTACAAACACACAGTACGCATCCTATCCATTTTTGGGAGAGGGAATTGTAAAGATTCTGCTTAGAAATCAAGTACAGAAAGTTGAACTGGCATTGCTAGGGCATAATCACCTTTGGGAGACAGCAAATGCACAGCTTTTTACTTCACAGATGTTATTGAAGTCTTTATTTTAAATAAGAATACTTACTTTAAATAAGAATGTAATTTATTAGAAACATAATGACAATTTATTATTTCCTGTTTAAAGTGCCTTCCCTATTTCTGTCCAAGCAGTTATGTATTTAATATGTTTTATAATAGCTAGAAATACTAAGGGGGAAAATAATTGTGATTCCTTTACACAACAGTATATCTCAGATACTTAGACTCATTTGAAGTTTGCAACAAAATGCAAGGACTGTGAAAAGCTATGACACATATATCCTAGAATTAAAATTTCAATAATCTCTTCTTTCAATACTCCATCCTATTGCACCATGCTCCTCTATTAGAGGAAATACTTTCCTTGAATGCCAAACCAAACTGTTACAGAACTGTCAGCAATTTCAGTACAGTAAGTCCAACCCTGTTATGGCAATCAAGGGTAAGTATCTGAATGGCTCAGGCTTTACCAGCTACAATTTCTACTACTCCTTAGATTAACTTGATGTTGAGGGACACAGAGACTGTATAAATTTTCAATGCCCCACAGTATCTATGTCAGGACCTGCCTTGCACGTTGAAGCGATTCAAAGCATTGTACAAAACTTCCTGACAGCACTTGTTAATTGAGTGGCTTGAGATGGTTCTGGCCCGAAACATTCAGCACTTATGCAACCTATTCTTAAACTGAGAGTCAACACTTCCAAGGCTTAGTAAAGTTGGTAGAAATTTTTTTTCCAAAATGCTTCTGTAGAAAAGTTAAATGACATAGAAATAGCACCTTATGCTAACGACCTGCTAATATAGATTCCGTAAATACTTAATGTAGAACACATAACAGCATATAGAGCAGAGCTACTTCATCTGGATTTGAATCAAGTTCTCATCAAGTTCTTTTCACATATCATATTTACCTTGGGGATTTCAACTGGCACTGGGTTAACCAATCAAAGCTACTTTATACCAAAGGAAAGCGCATAGGATAATTTTTGCTACTTTTTACACAACATGCTGCAAGCAAGTAACTATGAGGAAATTTTATTTTCATCTATCAGTGGAATACATATACCTATTCCTTCTAAAAGCATTTGCTGTTTTTCACAGTTTCTGAGAAAAATGCTGCTGCGGGAGGATTCTAGTTAATCCTCAACACTCCCTCACCTAGATCAATAGGAATTTTTTAAAGGCATACAAAAACTAGTTGGTGAGAAGGAAGTGTAGCAGAAATAGTGTATGTGCAGGTGTAAGTTTACACATGTTTTGTGCCCAACAACCTAAACGTGGTATGAAAGCCATCTGTTTTAACATACTGTACCTGTTTGCCATATTTCTCTTCCTGTGAATGTCTAATACTTGTAAGCTAACACAAACCTGTCACAGTCCGCTGACCCTCAGTCAGGCTATTCCACCAGCTGTTAACCTGAAACAGAATTGTTGTACATCAATGCCACTGGGAAGTATCCGCAATTTCAAAAACAGTCAATAAGGTTATGTACCTTTTTTAAGAATAGAAAGCATTTGTTTGAAGTCTGTGAAGTAAATCAGTTTCAAACTTTTTTACTTCTGATTGCTTTGGCTTTTCAAGTGGAAATTTCCTTACTCAAGAAAAGTTATCTACCCTCTTCTTCATAAAATGCCCCAATATGGATGAAGAGTTTCTTTAAAAAGAATGGACTTATATCCTTTGACACAACTTCATAAGTTTACCCTGCTTGTATTAAACAAGGATCTAGCCCATAATGCTTACTTTAGCAGATTAGCCAAAGTTAGCATAAATCCTGCCTCCACTAAGCCTCACCCTAATGCTGTCTAACATCACACCACCCACCTTTGAGAGATTCCACTTTTGTGCCAGGATCACTTTTGCAGAGGTGGCTCACAAGATGTGGAATCCATTCCCCCTTGCGTCCAGCTCACCCAGCCCTCCTCCAAGTTTAAAACCCCTGAAAAAGTTTATTTTGAGTGCAGTCAGCCCACAGATAAATTGCACCCCCCTTTCCACTCCTCAGTTTTCAGAATCATTTTGCACAAATATTTCGTTGATAACTCAACGACCTTCCAACCATACTGATAGTTGTCATTAACATTATCTGCAAGTTGGAGGCAGGGGAAATAATGCTGCAAGAAACAAAGCATTCACTATTTGATATCAAAGTAACAACTTCACTGCATTTCTTTTTAATTCTCTGGCACAGGATACAGATATCAGTTCTCCAGTATAATAACACTAAACAAACATGACTTTTCTAAAATACAAGAATTAGATGCCCTCAGAAGCAACTGGGAGAATCCTGAACTCTTAAAAATAGAGCTTACCCGTTGAAGATGGGGATTGGCAGTTTAAGCTTATTAACAACAGGGCAGTTTTGTTTTCTTTTTTGGATAGCTAATCACCAGATCTTCCCCTTTGGGTTTTGAAGGAAAATAAAAGTATAAAACCAAAGTTATTTAAAATATTAAGTGCTGATCATAATCTCACTTGCAGTTCATATACACCAAGCAAGAAAGCATGGTGCGAGAGTTAATTTTCTTTCTAGCAGCTTATACATGGTGCTGTGTTTTAGATTTTTGACCAAAACAGTACTGATACTACACTGATGTTTTAGGTTTTGCTGGTATTTGCACAACATGAAGACCTTTTCCATTTCTCACTCTGCCTGTGCAGTGACAGAACAGGGGACAGTGATAGGCTGGGAGGGGATACAATTGAGCAGATGAGCTGAACTAACCCACTGATATCTAAAAAGATATTCCCTACCACATAATGTAATCCCCCAAAAGAGGGGATTTTAGGACATTTAGCATATTTTGCTCATCAACTGGCTGGGCACTGGTCTTTCCACAGGAGATTGTGACTAACCGCCTTCACATCACTTTTCTTCTCTTGTCTTCTAGTTACTGAACAATTTTTTGGTGGTTGTTTTATCTTTATCCCTTAGTTTTCTTGCTATTCTTCCTCCTTTCCTCTTTCCTCAGTCCACTGTGGGTTTGTGAGGGACATGAGTGAGCAGCCACATGGTGCTCAGCTGCCCACCAGGGTTATCCCACATGCCCATTTCCAAAGCAGTACCAGTGTGCACAATATACATTATAAACACAGCTCCTGTGTCCTGCCCAGGACCCTGAGCTTCTCCAGCTCCACACTCAGTCCTACTTCCCTTGGACAACCAGACCTTACAGAGTATCAAGCCTGGTCTATCACAACTCATAGCTGTAACATTGAAGGAAACATAAAGCATACATGCATGTTTAGTTTAGTTTAATGTATACTTAATCAAAAACTAATTGATTGATACTTTGGGGATACCAACTAAATTTGTAACAAATCTCACAGCACTAATTTTGTTCTTGCTGTCCAAACTCCAAGGCATGCAAATGTCAGCTCTCAAAGTAAAAAAGCCCTCTAAACACTCGTATTTGTCAGATTTTGGAGGCTGAAAATATAAATGCATTTCAGAAGCCAGAGCATTGAAAAATCTTATGCTTAAGGTTCAGAATTTAAGCTAGCTCTGACCTCTTTGGGAGTTCATGTTCACTTCTGAGAACACTTAGACATAGCAGGAATGTTTGTTTTGGGTTTTTTTATGGTGAAAAAACAAGTGGTACCTAGTTTAGATATACAAACTCCTTTCCGGCATTTCTGGGTGAAGGCAGTATTTTTCTCTATTTTTCACTATACCTTTCACAGTGATATTGTAAGTCACGGTTTTCTGGAACTAATTCTAGCAGTTTTTCTTGTAAGGAAACGCATCTGCTGTAATTTGCTGAGAATCAGTTACAAAGCAGAATAACGAGGACAAGTATCTGTTGCACAAACAGCGCTCACACCAGAGGAGGGATGCAGCTGTGCCTGACACTCCTGCAGGAATCCACCCATGTGGGAGCAGCCTGGGCCTGGCGCTGTGTACCTGCTTTCTGAAGTCACCTCTCTTCTGCGGCCGCATTTTATCCATCCAGTCCGCTCGAGCTTCCTCGAAGTAGGTCTGGACCCGCGACTTGAGTGACTCATACTGCCAGATGGCAGCGGACCCGAAGGCCGAGCCTGTAAACTGGGCGACACCGGACAAAGGCTCAACAACCGCTCCATCCTGGGGCTCCAGCTGGGCTCATCCCAGGCTAACACCATGCACTGTGCCAGCTGCTCAGCCCCACGGCAATGGGAGCTGGGCAACACTGATGGACAGGGATAATAGAAACTGGATAATGGAAAAGACCTTTAAGATCATAAGTCCAACCATCAAGCCAGCACCACCAACACCATGTTTACCACTAAACCATATCCTCAAGTGCCATATCCACGTTTTTTGAAAACTTGCAGGAATGGTGACTTAACTGCTGCCCAGGGCAGCGTGTTCCAAAGCTTTACAACCCTTTCTGTGAAAAATTTTCTTACTATCTAATCTAAGCCTCCCCTGGTACAACCTGAGGCTATTTCCTCAGGTTTACCAAATGCTAAGTATCACAAGATAATACTTTATCAAAGAGGTTCGCAAAGAAAATGCGTAAATTAAATTATTTAAGTTCGCTGAAATGGAGTGAAACTGGGATATCTTTACAACATTTCCATTGATTTAGCTGAAGTTCCTTCGTATTATCTCAGTGTAACGGCACAGTATTTGGCCAACAACCTTGCACTAACTTTGAGGTACTGAGAAACGAAATCCAAGAAAGCAGAATTCCACTGAGAAAAACGGAACACACTCCCTGCCGACCCCGCTCCCCGCAGGAGCCACTTACCCCGACAGCGAAGAGGAGCGCTTGACCAGCCGCGCGGCGAGGGGCGGCCGGCGGCGGCGGTGGGCGACGGCGGGCAGAGGCTGCGGCGCGGGGCGCCGGGGCGGGCGGCGCCTCGGTCGCGGTCGCCGGGGGCTCCTCGGGCCGCGGCCGCGCCCGGCGGAAACCACGCCGCGGCTGCAGCAGCAGCACAGCGACCTGCGGGGGAAACACGCGGACCGTCAGCACCGCCCGCCCCAGCTGCTTCCTTCCTTGCCTGCCTCGCCTTCGCCTCGTCGCCGCCTCGCCTCGCCTCGCCTCGCCTCTCGCCTCCTGCCTCCCTCCCTGCGCCCCGGCCGTACTGTGCGGCCGCGGGACCCCGGCGCGGCCCAGCACCGCCACGCCATGTTGGCGCCTCCCCGAACACTTCCGGGGCGGCCGGTGACATCTTCCTATGGACGGCGGGGGAGCCGCTCGGTCACCGCATCGCGCCAGGCGGCCGCGGCCTCGGGGCCGCTGCACGGGGGCGGGGGTGGGGGGGTCCGGGGGTCGGCGGGCAGCGCCGCGAGGATCGAGGCAGCGCGTCCCGCCCCGGCCGCCATGTCGGGCGGGTGGCCTCGGTTCTGCCGCCATGATGAGCGTGGCAGCGCCTTCACCTACCGGGCCCCCCTGGCGAGAAACGCTGGCGCTGTGTAACCAGGGGCTCCATGATTTCGCAGAATCACAGAATATCCTGAGTTGGAAGGGACCAGCAAGGACCACCGAGTCCAACTCCTGGGCCTGCACAGAACCATCCCCACGAGTCACACCATGTGCCTCAGAGTATCATCCAAACGCGCCTTGAGCTCTGTCAGCCTTGGTGCTGTGCCAACTGCCCTGGGGAGCCTGTTCAGTGCCCAACCACCCTCTGGGAGAAAAACCTTTTTCTAATATCCATCCTCAGCCTCCTCTGACACAACTTCAGGCCATTCCCTCGGGTTCTGTGACAGAGAGGAGATCAGTGCTTGCCCCTCCTCTTCCCCTCATGAGGAAGTTGTAACTGCAGAGAGGTCTCCCCTCAGTCTCCTCCGGGCTGAACTGGTCAAGTGCACTCAGCTGCTCCTCATATGGTTTCCCCTCAAAACTCTTCACCATTTTCATTGCCCTTCTTTGGACACTGTAATAGCTTAATATCTTTCTTGTATTGTGGCACCCAAAACTGCACATAATATCCAAGGTGAGGCCACGCCAGTGCAGAGCAGAGCCTTCCTCAACCAGCTGGCAATGCTGAGCCTGATGCCCCCCAGGACATGGTTGGCCCTCCTGGCTGCCAGGGCACTGCTGACTCATGTCCAACTTGCCATCAACGAGGACTCCCAGGTCCCTTTCCTGGCACTGCTTTCCAGCATCTCATTCCCCAGTCTGTCTTCAGGCACCCAGATTGTCCCATCCCGGGTGCAGAATTTGACACTTTTCCTTGTTTAACTTCATACAGTTGATGATTGCTCAGCTCTGTAATTTATCAGGGTCTCTCTGCAGGGCTGAGTTAATGTATACTGTTCTCTAGAAGCCTTATGGAATAGGCAGAACCTGCCTCCTCCTAGCCTGGGGCTCTGCCTGCAGCAGCCCAGGAAGTAGGGAGGAGGTTGGGGCTGCTGCCTTGGCCCTGCCTTGCTCTGTGTGTGGTTCCACACGATCTCACCACACCTCACCACCTTCCCTCACCTGGCTCCTCCGCCCTGCCTTACCTTGCCTCCCCACTGGGCTGCTCCAGCAAAGGGTTGCATGAGGCCGATCAGGTGCAAGACAGCTGCTCCCACCCCACAGCCTTCTCCCAGGCTTTTCCCTGTATCTGTATCAATAATAATGTACCCAGCAGTACTAGAGAAGTGATCATCCCCCTGTACTCAGCATTGGTGAGCCTGTACCTCAAGTACTACGTTCAGTTTTTGGCCCATCACTTTAAAGAGGAGTTTGAGGTGTTGGAGTGGGTCCACTGAAGGGCAACAAGGCTCGTGAAAGATCTAGAAAACTTGTATTATGAGGAACAGCTTAAGGGAGCTGGGTTGGTTTAGTCTTGAGAAGAGGGGGTGCAGGTGTGACCTCATTGCTCTCTATGACCACCTGAGAGGAGGTTGCAGTGCTGCAGGACCCATCTTTTCTGCCGCACCTGCAGTGAAGAGGACAAAAACTGAGACAGAGGAGATTCAGATTAGATACTAGAAAAAAATTTTTCCCCGTTGGGGTGGTCGGGCACTGGAATTGGTTTCCCAGGGAGGTGGTGGAGTCACCCCTGGAGGTGCTCAAGAGGAGTCTGCATCTGGCACTGGCCGATGTGTTTTAGTGGTTTATGGGTTACAGTGGTAGCACTGGGTGGACAGTTGGACTGGAAGATCTTAAAGGTCTCTTCCAACCTTGATGATTCTATAATCCTGTGATTCCCCATGCATGCTTGAGCAGGTGCCCCAGGTGCCTTGTGGTTCCCTTGCTGCTGGCTGGGGCTCCTGCTCTCTGGCACTCTGCTGCTGTTCCTGGCACCATCTCCATGCCAGCTGAGCTCCGCAGGGCTGGAAAGGTGTGTTGGCAGGGAGCAGTCCCCTGTCCACACCGACACCCTCCTGAAATTAAAATAGAAAAGAGAACAGGTTTCTGCTTTGCAAATAACTTGTAGGTTTCCAGAAGCTATGTGTGCCTTCCTGGTTATCTGTGTTGCCATAGAGATACCCATGGGACAACCAAGCGCTGTACATGCCAGTCACGCCTGGGCCGCCAGAGACCAGAGGGCAGAGCCTCCAAAATCAAGCAGCTGAATAAACAGTGGTTTATCTCAAGCTTGTATGGAGAGGGCGAGAGGCAGCAGTCACGTATTGCAGCAGGAAAAGTTCCCCGTGGGTGTGAGGAACATGCTCCACGGGAGAGCAGCTGTGCAGTTTCCAGTCCCGGAGGCCACTCCATTGGCTGGAAAAGCTTGGGTGACCTGATCCAGCACTGAGGCTGTGCTTTAGCAGAAGATTGGCATCAGTATGGCCCCTTCCAGCCCAAGTTATTCTATAGTTCACTGTGTGAAGGGAAAGTTAATAGCAATGTGAAAGTGATCTGCATCTTGTAATTGCAAGTGGTTATGAGCCTGATTAGGTTCTTAAAAAGTTATGACAACTTCAGGAGCAAAGTCATGAAGTCAAATTCTTTTTAAGTGGGGAGGAAACGAATTAACATTGCTCCGCCTTTTTTTTTCTTTTCCTATGTAGTAGTGAAAGAGTTTGCCTTCTCAACTTAAGGTCAGACTCTGACCAGAGAAAACCTTTGTGAGCTGTGGTGGGAAACTGCTCTAAGTGGTTTAGTACTGTATTCAAATCTGCATTTTATCTCTCTCTGATTATGCTGGTGGCCATGGGTCAGCCTCAGAATTTACTTGAACTAAGGAGTGATCAGCAGGTTCAAAGCTATAAAGTGCTGGTATTAGAAATGTATATATACATATGCAAATGAAATCAGTGTTGTAACCAATGTTTTTTCTCTGGTTTTTGATGTAAACAAATGAAAAAGAAGTAAAAGAATTTTTTAACTTTTCAGTTTCAACACTTCTACCACTCATTTTTGCTTCCAAAAATTACCACCTTATCAGAAGTAAATTGTTTGTTTAAGTGACTTAGATATTTTTCTTTGTTAACCCTTCCTGCCTGATGTTCAGACCACATGCGTTTTCACTGTTGTTAATGTTAAGATGTTTTTAATGTTAATAATGGTTTTGCTCCCCCAGGGCTTGTTTTTATCACATTACAGCTCTTAGTTATATATGTGCACTTTGTGAGGGATGATGCTCTGGACTTTGTGTATTTATTTGGTTTTGGTTTATAGTCATTCTCCTTTGGACAGTTGCAAAGCATATTTGCTATCAGTGGTGCCATCACCTCGCACCTATAAACATGACAGCGCATGACAGCTGGTACAATCAAGTCCTGAAGGGTTGGGTGTCCGTAGTACAGGTTGAAAGAGGATGGATGTGGTGTCAGAATAAATTGTTAGCTGGATAGTCCTATGGGGTTTGTGTGGTAGCAGCAGGGTCAGGAAGGGGTGAGTGAGAGTGGCATCTTGGGGCAGAGGAAGGCAAAGAGAGGAGGAAGAACAGCAGCAAAGTGGTTGCAGAGCTGTCCCAGGCAGCCAGACCTCCTTTGGCCGGGAGGTCTGTCCTGTCAGGGTGCATGGCTGCAACCACAGACAGTTTTATTTGTTAATGTGAACCAGTGGAAAGGTAGCTGTCTGCATATTTCTTCATGGTGTGGGCTGCAACCTAAAACAAATGCATAAAAAATTTCAAGTGAAACAACCACTGTGAAAGTTGTAATACTATATTTCTGTAGTGCTTTGTGGTCTGATGGTGTGTGGCACTGACAAAGCAAATTATATGCCAGTGGGTGCCAGGTTAATCTGAGCATCTTTGGTACTAACTTAGGTGATTTTGCTCTAATTTTCCCTTTTGCTGACACTTCGCTGTAGCGAAAAGCCATGCCAGAGCTTTGTGCAAGTCAGGCAGAGCTTTGGCCCTGGGTCCTTGATTTTTAGAATGGGAGCAAAGGTCCTAAAGAGTATGAAACTTCCACTTGGTTGATCAAACTGGTCCTCACAAAGTGCTGACACCAGTGCCTCATAGGAGGGTAGATGAAACGGGCAGACCATAGACGTGAGTATCAAAATTTATCTTGCTTTAAATTTGTATTGATTGGTATTGTAATTGGGAGATGCATAATTGCAGTTGATTGTCCCAATTTTAAAAGAATTTTGAGTTAGCAAACAAGTAAAGAACGGATGAAACATTGCAAATTTAAAGTAGAGAATTCCTCAGTCAGATCCTCTGGTTTTGCTCTGTTGGTACTTTTTTGTGGTAAACATGTGCAGTAATAAATGTTTTCCTAAAAAACATACTCAATGTCATAGAATATTTAAGTATTCCAATTATTTGATGAGATTTAGATTCCAGTTCTACAGTTCCCTGTAGATAACTCCTTATGTAAAGGTAATTCCATTTACTCTGTGGGTATAAACTGTTTCAACAGGTTTCTAATATCAGGAATCTTGGGAGGTTTCTTTGAAGACAACTTCTGCTGGAAGAATGGCATCATCTTCTCTACAGATCTGTGCATTGCTGCTGACTTTAGCAGGATTCACCACTTTACTTGTTACTACCATGTCCAACAGATGGAAAGTTTTGGACACTGCGACAGAGCTGGTCACTGCAGACTGGGTTTCTGAAGGTCTTTGGATGGACTGTGCAGCAACTGCTCTTGGATCAGTAGAGTGCAAGAAATTTCTGTACATGTTGAGTTCAGACAGTAAGTGTGCATGGCATGTTTATAAAATCCAGGGATGTAGTTTTGTTCCTTGTTTCTGGACAGCATGTTAGCGCAGTGGGGTGGCACATAGTGCAGTTGTCACAGAAGGTCTGGTGTGGACAAATCCTGTAGTGGCTGCAGACAGGTTAAAGGGCCCCTGTGAAACCTGTATCCTTCAACCTGCAATTCAGCTCAGTCACTGCTGTGGCTTTGTTGCCATCTTTGTTGTGTTGACAGAGAGATATAAGTGATATACAACAAATCTAAGATTTTTTTTTAAAATTGTTTTGGAAGAAATAGTGTTCTTTCACTCAGCCTAATGCTTAAATACAAGCAGATCATAGTTCAATGAGCACTGGTGTTTGTTTATGCTTTGGTGTGAGACAAATAGATAATCCAGAACTTGTTGGATACTTTGTGCTAAACCTGTGTATTTGTCCTGGAATTTCCCAGAGGCTGGTTTAGATTAAAATACATCTGTGCCACTGGTGCTTTTGTGTTTTCTAGAGTAGACCATACTAGCAGGGTAGCTTGTCTCTAACTAGAAAGAGAAGAAATGTCTCTGTAGGGACTGAAAAGTATTTGTTTGAATTGTTCTAAATTCTAAAGACATCTTTCTTTAAATACCATTTTTACGGTAAAGGACTGTGAGGAACTAACACTGAAGATCTTTCCTCAAAAAAGTGAGTGTAGAAATACTAACAGTGCAGCCTGGTATTTTGTTAAGCTTTCTCTTTTAAACAGAATCTTCTGTTTATTCCTTTACAACTTTCAGTTTTGTGCAGTCACTTTATGCATGATGTTAATGAAATAATTTCTTCCAGTCTTCCCTGCTTTATAGATCCCTGATTATTGTCATTACTGTTTGTCTGGACTCTTTCCAGCTGATTTATTCTTGATGCACAGTGGTCAAAACTTCAAAATACCATGTCTCGCAGACTAAGAACCTTGTTTTTCTTGACACAGATATGGACTTTCCTGGAGTCAGAGCTGCCTGAGACAGATCTCTAAAGTTTGAGAGTTTAACTCTCAAGAGTGAACTCTCAAGATTCAGCACATTTGATGGCCTTTTACCTTCTTATCAATGGTGCCACTTTAAGAATAAGTATCAACATCCTGTAATGAGGCCAGAATCTGTAGCCTCAAAAGAAGGCTAATCATATACTTCTAAGGATTTTAAAAACACTACTCATTGCATCAGAGGCAATGTCAGCTTTTCATACAATCCTGGTATCCATTCTGCTCCTCTCTAGGGCTTCCTCTATGTAAACAGCAGGATGTCTAAGTTTCATTTAGAAACTTAAGTATGATTTATGGAAATTAGAGTGATGAGACGGGGCCAGCAATCCTTCAGTTCTCGTAGTGAGATGGCATGGATGCTTACGATGGTGTGGCAGCTCTGCCTTGACTTGTGTAACAGGGAGAAGCAGATGTTACAGCCCTGTTATGGAGACAAGCGGAGTCAATGTAGGGATGCAGGACAGCCTCCTTTTTTTTTTTAGTGAAGTTTCACTACACCCAACATGGAAAGAAAATATCCCCCAGGAAGAGAAGAGTTCCTGGTGAGCTGCAGCAGTCACCTCCTAGGGATTCTCTTCCCTCCCTTCCAGTGGCCTCCATAATTGGAAGACTGGACCCCTGCTTGGCAGGGGTCAGTGGATCATCTTCAACTATTCAAAGAACTGCATGTCCCCTAAAATCAGCACAGGTTCCTCACGCCAAGGCACATCATGTGGTGCTTGCGGAGTAATTGTCATCTGTTGCAGGGCTGTTTCTCTGCTTGCTGTGCTCAGTCAGCATTCCTGGGTCTTGAAAGTGAGGTGCAGCTCATGTTGATCAAGCACTCAGGTTTTTCATATTGTCAGTACCTTTTCCCCAGTTGTATTGGGTAATCTGATTTTAAAAACTACTATTTCTGCCTGTAAGCTCTCTCTCAACCATATTACACACAAATGTGCTCTGTTGGGATAATACCAGAGGGATTAGGAGCAATTTCTCTCCTTGGTCATATGTTGCTATGATCGTATATGGTCATACCTTGGCATGTCTATGTAAGCATTTTACTTAGGAGTGCACTTTTATAATGAATTTTCCATTTACTGCACCTGGTCTGGTTTGTGGTCTTGGAACATGCAAATTGGTTTCCTTGTGGATGAGGCAAAGCAGGGGAACGTGCTCCAGGAGCGCAGTTCCAAAATTCAGCCATTGACAGCATTCAGTTCACCTGACCGGGTTAGAGCGAGCCCGAAGGCAAACTCCCAAGCTGTGGAAGGTGTGGATGTGAAGCTGTCAGCACCAACTCTTGTTTGCTGCTGATCCAGAGCCTCCTGTAGAGTAGCACTGGCTGTTCTGCCCATTGCTCACCAAACCACAGTTTATGAAATTTAGTGAAGAATTGCCCTATGTTCTTTAACACATTGAAGGGTGACTTCCTGAAGGGAATGAGTAAAATTCCTGGTGCCCTATAGGAAAAGCTCATGCATTGTAATATGCAGTATAATCTTTTCTGTTTATATGTGTGCTTTATGACTGCTTATTGAAATAGATTCTTAATTAGGAAGAGATTTTTTTTAACACTATATTCTTCAATTTTTTATTTTTATCACTGGCAGCAGTATAACATCTGGTGAGACTTGATTCAAGATCCCAACTAATCTCAGCTTTGAAAGCACTGTCAGCAGAAGTGATCGCTGAGGTCATCAGCATAGTCACCAGTGTATGGATAAATTAATTTGAAACTCTTGAAGGGCTTTTAATGGGATGAACATACTCCAGGGTACTGGTACAGTGTGTTCATTTTACTATACCATCATTTTTCAAATTGCAGTGACTTAGCAGAAGAAGAGAATTTTGTAACAGTCACCCAAGAAGACAAATTCTTACCGCACACTGTCTGGTTTCCTTAAAAGATTGCAAGTTCAGACCTGCACAGGATCACAGGATTTGTGCTGCCAGATATAGTCTTGTTTAAATCAGTGGCAATGATCCTCTAGGTTGCCAAGGGAGCAAAAAAGTCACAGTGGCACCGTAATATCCTTTTGCAGCTGAACTTACCAACCTACGGCATCAGTTCAAAGTGGACAGTGAATTTTGAAAAAAAACCAAATACCTGTTATGGGCAAGTTGTGACTCTCTCAAAGGCTAATCTTTCTAGTAGTGCTTATGTAAATGCTGTGAATCTGTTACCATGTTGCATCATAGCAGAATTATTTTATGAAGAAACTCTGACTCCATTTCCTGGAGATAAGAGCAGGTTATCACTGCAAGAGATGGTTAACCTTGTTTGGATACCTTAAAGTATTAACATTAGTGGTGATGTGAATTGTGTCTATGATTCTGTCTAGCTGAGAGCAGTAGCAACTAAACCAAGTTTAACATCTTGTTTGCCTAGAATAGCTTTTTTTTTAATACTAAGATATTCTAGCAAGCAGATACAATTGGCTGATATGTATTATTGTTCCTATAGCTGTTTTTCTTCATCATTTTATTCCTTTTGAGATAGGTCTCTCACACTCGCTCCTTCATTTCCTTATATTTAATTTCCATGACATGTACATTATTACAATGTAATGCATTGTACAATTGTACAGTGTAAATGGCACTATTTTTAAGACTGAATGTGTTTAAGTATAGATCAATAGACAGTAAAATATTAATGGAAACCACTTATCCACAAACTTAACCTTCCTGAAGGAAGCTGGCAGTACTATTGTTACAGATTACTTATGACCATAACTCAAAAAAATGTGCTAAATTTTCTAGCAACAGAATAAAGCTTCTGTTCTCAAGCTTTTCTATGTTTGAGTCCTCAAGCAAATAACACAGTAAAGTTTTTTGAGATCAATAATAAAATTACAAACAATTTTAATCTAGTGTAAAATCTAGTTGACTTCAGAGAAAATAAAATATTTGCCGCATACTGTCACTCTTATTAGGTATTTTGTAGATATACTGACTGGACTTTCTAGGCTGAGAAAAAGAAGAGGCTCATTTTTCACTTCCTATTAGAAAAAGAATTAATATTGTCATTTTTTTTTACACGCTAATATCTTTATTATGAACTGCTCCCACTTCTTATTGTCATGCCCAGCAAGCCTTATCTCTGGGGTTGAGCAAAGAGCAAAGGTAGACTCATTTTGGAGTGAAACGCAGAGATAAAACACCAAGGAGGCTTCTGAAAGGCTTCACTTGGTTGTAATCTAATTATAAGGATACTTAACTGTTACTACTCACAAGCATGACTGCTGCCTTGGAAATTGTTGGTCTTCTCTTGTGCTTGGGTGGGTTGGCAGTTATTGGAGCTACTTTGCCAAATAATTACTGGAAAGTCTCCAGTATACATGGTAGTGTGATCACAACGTCTACGTTCTATGAAAACCTGTGGAAGAGCTGTGTAGAAGACAGCACTGGAGTATCCAACTGCAAGGAATTTGACTCTTTGCTTAAACTGCCTGGTATGTGACTTTGCGCAGCCTTGTTCATATTGCTTAAAAGTTTATTGGCAAAAAGGACTATGGCTTTTGTTTTGGTGATCTGGTAGTGCTTGAAAATAACTGGCCAAGAAGGACTTTGTGGGTTGAAGTAATAAAAATCTCTTAAGCAGCAGAATGTGTCAGGCATTTTAGGAGAGGCTATAAAATACGGCAAATGAAGTCGGTTGATCAAGCGTTTATTTTAATAGGCATTTTAAGTATGGTGTAATCTCTTCTCTAGCATCTTGTGGGAGGAATTAGTAGGAGACATTTTTTAATTGTTTATTTATTTTGAATTATTGTATAGGCCTTCTTTTGAAATACTTCATAGCTAATGTACTGCAGCTGGAGTTTTTTCATATAGCAGGAAATACTATTTACAGCTGAGAAGTGGTAGTGGGTTTTGTGCATTGAGACTGAAAATTGTAGGCAATCCAAGAAATACAGTAAGTATATGTTATACATATTATAACGTTATAAGTTATACAAGGAGTATATGTTATAAATTAATATACCTGTCAGGGCTTGTTAACTAATGTCTTTTGGGATGTGGTTCTAAATATCAAGAAATTTAAATCTGCTGGTTCCTGTCCTCTGTATCAGTCTTCAGCAGAATTGTGGATTGTCCTCAAATGTCCCACTAAGGCAATATTCTGTGGATAGTAAGCATGTTTATAGATAGTGAAGCTATTTTTTTATTAATCTTGAATAATTCAATATGTAGATACTTATCCAGAATAAAAATGCCTTCTTTCTAGTTGAATATACCCTGGGAGGTGGTTAAACTAAATAGGTAGGAGGATACTCCTAATCTGAAGAATGTGTACTATAGGATTAGTGGGAATGAGGTATTAAATTCACTTTCTCTCTCAGTCTGAAATAAAGGGATGTTGTTGACCAGCTCTGACACTAGCATAGCAATTCTCTGAAGCTGTCTGTGTACAGTATTTAGGCAATAATCTATTATTTTCATTTTTCAGTCTTATCTAACAACTGCTTTTACAGTACATGTGTGTATTAAGAGGCACATAACCCTTTTTAAACTTCTTAGAGTAAGTAATAGCCGGATCATATCCATGGGACATTATCCTCTGCAGAGCGTTTCTGTCAGTGTGCACTGGCAGTGCTGGGTGAACAGCTGGGCTCCAGGATCCCAGAGGTCTTTGCCAGCCTTAATGATTCTGGGATTTTATTTGGTTCTTGTAAAAAACAGTTCAAGGGCTGGTTTGCCACTGACTGCAGGCGGCATCTTGTCAGTGATGGATTGACATGAGGTGCTGCCTCTGAGAGGGTGTGCAGATGTGGGCAGTGGGGCTGCAGGGCAGCATCATGGAGCTGCCCAGGAAAAAGTGGCTTTCAAAGAAACTGGCGGGGGTCAGAAAAGAGCATCGCGATGTGCTAAAGCCGAAGAGAACAAAAGGCAAGCAACAGGAGGGCTCCTAAAGAACTGCAGATAACAACATGGAGTCAGCAGGAAGGAAAAAATAAATGGGGCCAGACAGAACGTAAATGACTGGGCCAGGCCCTGAAGTGAATTTGATCTATTGAAAAGGAGATCGGTTCTGTGGTTGAGAAGACAGCAGTGTATTTGAGGGACATAGGCAGGGGAAAGGGAAAAACAACTTGCAAAATTGTAGAGAAAAAACATTTTTAGAAAGGAAAACTGAAAAAAAGAAGTTAGAAGACACTGAATTGTGTTAAAAGTGGAAAAGGACAGCTGGGCAAAGCAAGAAAGAGGAAGAAAATGGGCTTGGTAATAATGAGGACCGAGTAAACAGTGGGACTTCTAAGAAATGTCTATAGTACTGGCAGATGTGAGCAAAGGCAGACTAAAAATTATCATTATCAGTTTAGGCGTGGTTCAAGTTGCTGTTTAAAACTTAGCTGAAACTGTTGCTAAGATGTCAGGGATTGGTGGGAGGGGAAGAGAAAAAACAAAAGTGTCTTTGTTACCTCTCATCAAAAGGATCATAAAGATTTTCCACGGAGGTTTCCTTATTGGCAACTGAGCTATGTGGAATACCTCTGATTTTTCGTTTATATATGGAAAATATCAGACTTGGTTCTTTTAGACAGATTTAACACTTTTGAGTTCAGTAAACCATTAGTCTAACTCACAAACATTTGAAGTGAGGATCTTTTTAAAAGCAATATTGTACGATTGAAACCATGACTGGCTACTCTGTATAGCTAGCACTATCTATCTAGTCACAACTAAGTCAAACATTTGATAGATCTGTTTGCCAAATGCTTTTCATACTCTTTTTTTTTTTTTCTTTCTTCTTTTTCATGTTCCATAATTGTTTCTTCCAATGATAGGTTTTGGGCATAATCTCTTACAATCAGTACTGACTAATAAAATGAACTGCCTTTGTATCTTGTCAAATAAGCTAATTTTAAAAATAAACACAACAACAAATTGAGCTTTCTTAACTGTGAAGCAAGGCCCTCAGTTAAGGCTGTTGAGGTTATTGTATTGTAGTACAATGGTATGAAATTTCTACTGTTAAAATAATACAGCCATTGGCTTGCAAGCAGTTAGCCTGAGGATATGCTTGTGTGTCCTGGAAAGATGGGGAGTCCCATCTAACACTGCAGGACCTGAAATGTAAGTTGTTGGACCCTGCTATGGGTGATTCCTGGTGCCGTGGTGTAAGACCCCAAACTAGAAAGCAGCATTGTTGAGTGCTTGTCCTAACAGTACCTTCTGCAGGCAAAAACTTTGAGGCATTAATGGTATTTTGAGAGGTATTTTCACTTTTTTTACTCTCTGTATTTTTTCCATAAAATTTTTAAAATTAGTGCTTAATGAAGCATTAATTTCTCAAGTGATTTTATCCTTTAATATCCTTTAATTTATTTCACGACTGCTTATTACTATTTTTGATAACTCTCAAGCTTGCAGGATCAATACTCTTAAGCCACATTAGGCAATACAGCCCACTGAGTCAGTGTGTGAATATCACTTTGCCTCCTGTTTCTCTCTTTGATTTTTGTTGTTTGGAGAGTTACGGGCTCACTCTGCTACAGACCTGGCCAACAGGTTATCATGGAAGACTGGGGAGGTGATCAGGGAGCAAGAAGAATGTTGGCATCAACAAAGCCAGTGTCCAGTTGCAGTCCAGTTCTGACCCTTCTGATGTGTGGTTAGAATTTTAGAGTCATTTAGGTTGGAAAAGAACTTTAAGATCATCAAGTCCAACAAAGTTAGCAGTTGTGACCTGCCGGATTGGTGACGCTTGGCATGTTTATCTCACAACAAAGGTGCCGAAATGCCACTCGAGCTGGAACCTGCCAAGTGCACAATGCCATTTTAGAGGAGACCGAAGTCTCTGTTTGATCTTTCTTCTTAGGCTGATTAATAATCTTGTCTAGGTTTTTGTGCAATTGATACCTAAATGTGAAGACTGTGACCTTAAGCAATACAGACTTGTCAGCATACCAAATTCCCTAACGTGCCCACGGGAGCTGTAAGCTCTCCACAGGAGTATGTCTTAGGGAGGAGAGGAGTGCTACAGCTCTTGGACCCACTTGCCTCCTGTTTGTTACACTGATTCAGAGTTTGAAGTGAACTGCTAACTCAAGCACATTCTTTCCTATCTCTCCCTGGAAGCAGCAAAACTGGTACATTTTTCCAGTTCCTCTGTAATGCCTGAGCCCCACACACCTTGGCTAGCACCTGCTGTTCAACTCTGAAATCTGATTTACTTGAAGGCTGAACGCGCTCAGGTTTGGAGGCTTCTATGAACCATATGACAAAGTTGGACAAGATTCACTTATTTTATTACTGCACCTGTTGATTTTGTCAGTCCTTCTAATCACTTTTACTTTTTCAGCACAAGATCAATGTCATTTTTGTATAGATCCTGATTTGTTTTCTCTTTTTCTGTGTTAGCTCATATTCAGGCATGCCGTGCCTTGATGATTACTTCCATCCTTCTGGGATTCCTAGCTACAGTAGTCTCACTCTTTGGTTTGAAGTGCACAAACATTGGGTTGAGCGATGAGGATGGAAAAATGAAGTTTGCTGTCACAGGAGGATTTCTTTTCATTTTAGGAGGTAATATCAAGGCTGAAATGAGAATGCTATCAGTACTTTGTGTTGCTTTCACAGCCAGATTAAATGAAATTAACTTGTTCTTAGTTTAAAGCTGGTACAACCATTAAAGGAATCACTCACCTGTGTGCTTTTTAAACTTTTTCGTGTAGGTCTCTGCTCCATGGTGGCTGTTTCTTGGTATGCTGCAATCATTACTGCTCAGTTTTTTGACCCACTGTATGCTGGAACCAAGTAAGTTAATGGATCTGTCGTACCAAACTCCATCATGTGTTAGAAACTTGCACTAATCCCAGCTGCTCCAGAGTCTCAGAACCTGGATGGATACCATTATACAGTCTTGCAGGAGGAAAAAAATTGTCTTCGGGGAATCTTTTTACGTCAGAGATGTTGGTGGGGAGAGAGGAGAGTTGTCTTCTGGAAGAGTTAGTAAACGTGAGGAATATTAACCCCACATCCATGCGGGTTTTGTACTATGTTTACATTTTCTTTTGAGACTCAATTAAGTGCAAATCTCAAGACGAAGAAAAAAAGGTACAAGTCCTAATTTTCTTCAGCATTTAGACCAAAAGAGGTACAAAATTCTAGATATGGCTAGGATAAATTGCCTCACATATACAAGCATGGGAAAATTGTCCAGAAAGCAGCTTGAGCTGTGTACTGGTGACCTGCAGAGAAATGTACTGCTTGTCTATGTATTGTCTCAACATTTGTTTGCCTTATGAATAAAATGAGGCAAAATTTGGGGGACTGTCAGCTAGTACAGTTGCACACAAACAAGTTTCAAGGTATAAAAGCCCTTACTCTTGTCTGATGTAAAAGCAATGGTTGTCAAAACCAAATGGCAGCTTATGGCACTTTATCAAGGTGCCCTTGTAAAGGAACAAGGGTAGAGGTCACCAGGCCTCTCCTTCAGAGAAGGGGAAAAGGAGATGGAAACATACTGTGGAACATGAGACCTCTAATTTGTTAGTACCTCTGTCTAGTATATAATTCATAGATCAGTAAACTATAAATCTCTAGTTGCTAGGATCATATTTGAAGTGTTTTGTAATTTTCCACCTGGGAATCAGTTCAGAAAAGTCAGAGGTGAAGTGCTTTGTGATGAATCAAAGTACTTTAAGCAATTGCTTTAGTTGTTTGTCAGTTTTCCCGGTGTTTTCAATGAAGCACTTACAAAGAAATTGCACTTGTGCACTTACTTGTTGTTTTATATCCTCTTCAGAGAACTATATGAAGGGTAATAAATACATTAGGGAACTGAAAAAAAAATGTTGATAAGGAATTTCAGTTAGTGGGATAGTTAGTGAGTTTTATAGTTATCTGCTATAGCTTTTGGGCTTCAACATCAATGACTGTTAATCAGTTACCAGATTGTTTGCATTCAGTAGCTGAAGAAATCTTTTTTTTTAATATCCAAACTTCATGTTTAAGCTATTGATTCTCTGAGCGGTTCTTGGTGAATTAACTTTGGTCACTGGTAAAGCCAGACATGGACTCTGAGAGACAGTTAAATTCAATTGCAGGCCAGTATTAATCTTCACTCTTAAGAGACTGGGAAATCCAGTTTTTCAGATAGCATTTTTTTTTGTCTGACTTCAGCAAACTAGTGAAGTTAACCTCTGCTAATTCTTAGGGGAGTTTCTCATACAGTTGTGAAGGCAACCTAAGTTCTCCTGCAGATCCCTTCTATATACTTTCCTTGGGGATGGCATCTACAGCATTCCTGTCTGTAGTTTACTGGTGAGCAGAGACTATTTCAGACACTGGGCAACGCTCCCTGGCTGTTCCTGTATTCCTTCAGCAGCTTGCACTGCTTTTTTTTTGAGATAGTGACTATCTCCCCACCGTGTGTTTAGAAAGCACCTAAACCAGTGGAGACCTTGCAGCTCCAACGTGCAATGAGAACATGGAGAGCAGGGAACGTCTGTGAACCTCCGAAGCCCTCCTGTTAGCAATGAATTCTGGAGTCAGAAGCTTCAACACTTTTAAATGATGATTTTGTGTTTACAAGTGGAAAGAAAACACAAATCTCTGGTTGCAGTGTACTTTCAATACAGCTCATAACACTTATTTTACCCTTATAGTGGGTACCTCAGACTACAGAGGTACAGGTGTATTGTGCCTATAGTCTTCAAATACAAAACTTGTTTTCCTCTTTTTGTGAAACTCCTGCCAGACTTTTCCAGACTCACTTGTGTCTAGTCTTTGGGACAAATTCATTATTAATTAATTTTTTGGACTGGACTGGGGGGTTTCCTGAAAGGTATAGTTTTGCACAGCAAAATGGGGAACTATTCTTTTTCACCCTGGGACACTCATACATGGATTTCAGCCATACAACCACAGAGGGTGCCAAATATTCTTTAGGATACCTAAGTTTGAAAACTAGCCCTATACAAACAGCTACTTGTAGGTCACCTAGCATCATGCCCATAGAAAACTGATTCCTATGGTTAGCCTTTTCTCAGGACAGACAGTAAGGTCTGATTCATTCCGTTTCACAAAATTGCTTCAGTGGCACAGCCAATAAAAGGGAAAAATAAGTGTTGTGGATGGCACAGAAGGTATGTTATTATTATTTATTATCAACAATTTGTTAAATATATGCAATTATTTATTGCTACTTATCTTAATGTAGCTTCACGCTTTCTGTACTATCACTAGTTTAGCAGAGCACTTAAATATACAAGTAAGAGTTTTACTGAGCAGACACAAAGCCAGGTCTATTCTCTGTTCTCTGCTGATGTACCTTTCAGTTGGCTGATTTCTATGCGGACTAGAATTTGTTTCTTTGCATGATTTGTGAACCTTATGGCTCAGCCTAAAATAATGGCTTTGTGATCCTGTTATAAGCTGTTTCCATAAAATCTTTCATGTTTCAGGTATGAACTGGGAGAAGCTCTATACTTAGGCTGGACTGGTTCTATTCTTTATATCCTTGGTGGGATCTTACTGACCTGTTCATGCAAAGGGAAGGAAAAACAGAATTACAGGTAATCTTGGGTTTGTCAGTCGAAACAGTAGCTGTAAATTACTGTGCACTTTTCTCCCTCTCTCTCTCTCACCCTCTTGTATAAATATGTAGCCATATACAGTACAGCAGTACTATGGGCTGTCACAGACTTGTGATGGCAGGGGATGCTACACCAAACACTTGCACAGTATACTTGTTGATACTTCACCATCAGTAGTCCCTATAACTTGTGTTTGGTATTTCTGGGTACTGCTTATATTTCTAAGTGAAAATGTGCAGTGAAAGAGTGAACTGTCTATTGGCAAAAGTATTTCAAAGAATATAGTGTATTTTAATCCAGTTTCTCTACAATACTCACTGTGATTAAAATATTCAAACATCATTTAATTTGCAGAAAGTGTAATGGCATTTCCTTCCCAAAGCACATCCAACTGATCATTAGAAACATGGGTTTTTTTTCTTGTTCTTTATGGAAATGTCTTGTTGCAGAAAAGTCTCAGCAGAAAAGCTGAGACTTCTGGCCTCAATATTTAATCTTCCCTGGACTTTTTTTCAATCTTAAATTATTGACACAAACAGAAGGTCCCTTTCTGAAGAAGAGGGATGAGATTGCAAAAATAGCAGAGGTTCATGTCTACTCAGAAGAACTCAAATGGCTTGGAGGTTGTACTGGCTAAGCTTGAGAGGCTGATAACATGGAAGGAGGAAGCATGCTCACTGCTGCTATATTTAATCTTTGAAGATTATGTCAAAACACATAGTAAGTGAGCGCTCCTCTGATACTCCACTGCCTAATCTGAAACCATTTCAGTTTTATGGTAATATTTCATCAGCCACATTGGACTTTAGATCTTGTTCACCGTATTTTAATACAAAGTACCGGATGTCCTGAAATGTCCTGAAAATCAGGTAGAACAGACATATGAAATAGAAGTTCAACATGACGAATGACAGCTGAAGGGATTGGCTGAAGATACTTGTTTTTTTCTCATCATCTTGATTCCTGTATTAAAACCTGGAGCTTGCACAAGGGCATTGAGGGCTAGGTTCTCTTCTGCTTTAAGACCTTGACTGAAATGCCTTGAGGAAGAGCACAGGTGAATTAGGAATCCAGAGTGTGGTGTTGGTTATGAGAGAGATGGCTGTGCTGCCTGTCAGGGAGCCCTTGTCTTTCCACTTAGCTACCAGACCGATGAGAACAATAGACAGCTGCACCTTTGTGAAGAGTGTGCTATCGAGGGGTTTGATATAGACCTAAATGAGTAACTTCCTAAGTATCTAAACTATGAACATGTGTCTAATACTTCTTATTTGTATCTTTTTTTTCCTTACTTTACAGAACCAACAAATACGGATATTCAGCAGGCCAGGCAGCTCCTCAGCCACACATGTATTCCAGGAACACTGAGACGATCATAAGCAACAAGGAGTATGTCTAAACTTCCATTTTGCATCACCTGTAACATTAGTAGGTTATGAACTCAAATAAAGAAGTGAACTACTTCCAGGGTTCCGGTTCCAAGTTGCAATCTTATCCCTTAATTTGGAGCAGTACAGGAGGAGGAGTGCTTTCCAATGTAAATAGGAATGGTTTTCAGATGTAAATAGCTTTCTACAGAAGATGTGAAGTGAAATCCTGCCACAAGAAGGTTTTCTTCGTGCTGACAAGGCTGGTAAAATTTAACCAGAGCGCAGTATATGCTGACACTTGAGAGCAACAGTTTCCATTTCAGCTGACTCAAACATGTGGAACTGAGAGCTGTGTTTGACTGCGAGTGCATGTGCCTCACAGTTAAAAACGTATTGTGTTTTCATTAATGTTTAGCTTCCTACTTTTGTTTAGCAGCTTTAGCTTTTTGACAGGAAATAAACTTTATTCCATGGATTGACTGGAACAGATTTTTTGATGAGTGGTATCTTGGCAATTAATAAGGATCTGATGTATTACTGCAATTCTTATTATGTATGATAGTCAAGGTTTATAAAAGCTACAATAAATTCTCTAGCAACCACTCACCTTCAAATCTGCAGATGTGCAACAAATTTCATGGTTGTAATGCAGATACCAAAAATAAATGATATGGAATGAACCAAACACAGCTGGGAGTGGAGAAAGCATCTGGTGTGAAAACGCCTTGTGGTAACTAAGAAAACAATAGCCTGAATTTTTTATTTTTATTTCTATGTTTTCAGCTTTTAAAATAATCCTATTTTAACTTTGAGCAATCTTTAACTTTGGGAACTTCTACTGCATCTGAGTTGTCTAATTCGTGCAATTCCCCAGAGGCTTTATTCTCTGTCATTGTTCCATCATTAGAATTTCTGCCTTAAACTACTCCACTGCTGGGAGCATACGTTTGCCTTGTGTGAGCACTCAGACAGATGGTGATAAGCTAATTTTATTTTATATTTATGCTTTAAGCAACATGAAATGGAATTTCACCCTACAGGTTCATAGGTTTCATAACTTGTCCCTTTTAAATTACAGATGTATTCACACAGTTTGACAAAATACCTTGGTGTTTATCTCTAGTTCTGATGTCTTATGATAAACATATAATAGTCTGATTTAGAAGTTTCATGCAGTTTTCTTGATGTCCCAATAGATAATTTCAGAGAGCAACCAGCAAGCAGTCTTAGCAGATTTAGCCATGTTGCTTGGATGCAGGTACAACTGACTTGTAAACTGGCACATTAAGGCATGTGTTGAGCACTGGCAGATCTTGTTAGACTTAGTAAGTAAAGCTAAAAAGAGTGAGGATTACTTCTAAATTGCCAGAGTCATCTTCTTCCCCCCACTATCAACTGTTGTTTTTTAAATCATTCCTTTGGTGTTTTAGAGAATAATTTCAAAAGCTGAAAAGGCACTTAACTTGCATGCTGGGAGCTGAACTCCTTGCCATCATCTGTACATTCTGTCCTCTGGATTTTTAGGTAATTTTATGAAGGTGCTTTGGTCTAGTTGAACGGAAGGAAAATGGCAGACTAAGCATCAACCAGTGTTGGTTTCCAACCAAAAGTTGTGTCAGCTCATGAACATGAATTATGACTTAATATCCAGCAGGTGAGACAGGAATTCAGAACTTCCTTAGTCTGGCATCAGGTCTTCCAGTGGCATCACTGGGAAATTTAATTAACAACCAAAACTGCTGTGTGGTAACTCCTTCACTCATTCAGTACATCGTTATCGTATTCAGTGTCATTCAGGGGAAAATAACTGCTGAAGATTCCATGCCTTCCTCTGCTTTGTTTACAGTCCTTCCAACCATTTTCTGTTTTTGTTGTTTCTCCCTGCTTATCCACCCTGTTTCCATGCACCTTCAACAGAAATGCGCTGAACGAATCTAATGAACCATCAGGTATTTTATGTAGAGGTGATTCAGGAAGGGATTTTTTTTCCTTTTTTTTTTTTTTTTTTTTTTTTAGATCTGTAGCAACTTCACTCTGTTTAAAGCATCTTCGCACTTTGCTAGTTTTAAGTCCTTTGCTCAGTGGACCTGACTGCTTTAGTATCTGCAAATCTTCTTCATATCTCTGCAGCTGAGACCAAAATCCTGCGTTGGGTTCTGCTACAGGTCTGGCAGTCTTCACAGCCTAGGGAACAGGAGAGAGTGGTAGAAGCAAGGTGTCCTGCATTTGTGAGCGTCCTGTAAATGGATTTTTTTCCTTAGACCTTAGATTTACTTTGGTTTTGATTTGACCACAGAATAACGAACAGCTATTTTGGTGAGCTGACCTCACTCTGTGCTTGCTATGACTTGGCATGTGGTCCCTGTTACAGAAGGGATTCATGGCTGAGACATGAGAAGGAGCTGTTGAATTTGCTGGAAATGCGAATGTCTCTTACAAAGTGTGCTGACACTGCTCATGTTTAAGATAGCGTGAAACTGGTCACTCTCTGCACGCTGTCTAATGTGAGCAAAATGGTTATCTAAAGACTTCAGTCATACACCTGCCAAACGGGTGAAGACTAAAGGCCCATAGAATCCAAGTAGTTTGTATTGGATGGGCTTCCCAGGAAAGCTGAGATGCTACTGCTCACAGCTAGTCCCTGGCCATTGAGCAGGCTTAACAGGATGTTTCTTTGCTGTGTGGAGCTGTCACATAGGTGAAGGAGCAAATCCTGCAAAACAACTCCTGCAGCCACCCATTTGTCTCTGTCTTTATTGTCACTTACTGTGACTATGCAACTGACAGAGAAAAATGGTCACTAAACAACCAGCTTTGCATGTTTGCTACTGGTGCTCAAAGCCTATTTGCATCTGTAATTATTTTGTCCCAGAAACCTCACACTGAAAGGTCATTTGTCCAAGCTAGAGGTGAAAAAACTTGGAGGGGAACATTTATTCAAAATGTTGAATATCTGTATAACTGCTAATGGGCGGGTGAGAGCCCAAAATAATTGATCATTACTCAGAACGAGCCTTGCATTTCTTCCCCAGAAGGTGTCTAAATATAAATCTGGGCATAAGCAGGTTACCTCAAACGCGTCCTTGAGCGGGAGCTGCCGGTGTCTCATCAGATAAGCCGTGCAAATGGCAGCCGACCGGCTGCGGCCGTTCTTGCAGTACACCAGGCACTTCCCCCCGCCCCGCACGGCCTCCTCGATCGCGGCGCCGCACGGCTCGAAGTACCGGTACAGGTCCTCGGCCGGGTCGTCGAACACGGGCACGCGAATTCCGCGCACCCGCGGGAGGCCGGGGAACGGCTGCTGCCTGGTGACATTGATGCAGAAGGTGACCCCCTCCCGCGACAGCAGCTCCTCGTCGCAGGCTGCCCTGGCCGCTGCCGAGGAACAGGAGGCCGTGACCTTGCAGAGCTGAGCATCGGCAGCCCAGGGTCCCGGCCCCTCCGCGCCGGGGGTCGGGGTGCGGGGCTCCTCGGCGGCAGCGCGGCTGTGCCGCCGCAGCCGGCGGGCCGGGCTGTGCTATCCGTTCTGTACAGGCTGGGGCGTAGAGGCTCCAGGCAGGTCCTAGTGCCGGCTGCATCTCGAGAGCTGCGTTTGGAAGGCTAAAACGCTTTCAGAGCCCACAGCTCACTTGAGAACTAGATGGATTTTACAGTCCCCACCCCTACAGCAGCTGCTTCCCCCCTGTGTTCTGCACGGGAAGGCTGCTGCGGTCAGTGCTGTTGGTGCAGGGATGCAATATCGATGTGAGCTCCTCCAGAGCATCTTGGGGCCCCTCACATATAACAAAAGCATCTTTTGAGTGCCCAGAAAATTATTTACTAGGCTGGCTGGATAGCATAGCACTAATTTCTCTGGACTTCCGTAGAATTGCTGGTGTGGTGCCAGAGCAAGAGTATCTTACACTGGAGTGTACACGTGGGTTAGAGCTGTGCAGGCCAGGGTGGGGATGGGGCCAATGGCCCGGCCAGGTGAATGCCACATCAGCCAGCGCCACAGGGCTGATCGCTGGTACCATCCACTTCCCGGAGCATTGAACATGTGGCTGAGCTGCTTCACCCCTCTGCTTTCTGGTGAAACAGGAGCATGTGACCAATATTTGTTGCTGGCACAAAAATGAACCTGGACTATCACAGCAGCAGAGCACAGACTAATAGGACAAATCTGATGACTTACTGGTTTATGAGTTCCTGCACTGGTGTGCAGGTCTTCCCTGGGTGCCCCCATCCCAGGGCAGCATTTCTGTCACATAAGCACCATGTCACTGTGGCCACACCTGTGCTTCCTCACTCTGAGGCTACAGATGTTTACTTGCTACCTGCCTGCAGTTGACTTAAGAATGGTCATTCATGCCAGAAAGGTTGTCCCTTCCCACCAGCCTGCCCTGTATCACCTCCCTGTGCAGAGCAGGAAATAGGGACAGGGCACTTATCCTTACATGGAGAGTGATTTATAAGGTAAATGCAAATGCCACCTTCTGGCAGTGAAGACAGTTGCCAGCTCTGCAAGATGATGGTCAAACTGCAGGGTAAAAGCCTCATCCTCTGACTAGAAAAGGTCTGATGCCTCAGTCCAAATTTTGCTGGGGGACTTCTGGTCTTCGTGCCACTGCCAGCTGGGGTTTGGTGCAAACAGCCCCAGTTATACTGGCTGTGTCTCATCCTTTTCCATGCACCTGTAAAGTGTCTGCCCCCATCGTCTTGGTGAGCTCCCTGTAGGTACCAAGCTGTTGTTAGAGCCTCTGAAGCCTTTCCTTCCCAGGCAAGCAGGGCTGTGTGGCTGCAGGGAAGTGGGAGCTGAGGTTGTATCACATCCTACACCTCCTGCAAGCTCTTAGCAGTGAATCTGCAAACACACTGCGGCATCGCTGCAAACACAGTGGCATCACAAATTGCAGCAATGTTTTCAGACAACTTTAATACACACACAGCTATAAGTGGATATTATTTAAGATCATCATTAGACACAGAGGAGGCAAAGGAAGCAACTGGTGTGCAAACAACTTCTCCAAGAAGACCTACATTTCTGCACTTGTCTGTATTTATATGAATGTGTGCATGTGGTGCAAATAGCTGTAACTGCAGGACAGGAACCTAAAGAAATGCCTACTCACTCAAGGGTATCACGCAGTTTATTAAATTTAGGTGGTATTTGCTTCCAGGAAGAAAGATACACTTCTAGTAGTTTCCAGTTACCAAGTCTTTCTTAGACACTTCACGAGCAGCTTCTGATGCGTTACCTTGACAGCTGTATTTAACCACTACTGGAAAGGACAGAGCTGAAGCACAAACCTTTCTGATGCACCAGTTCAGTATCAAGCACATGCTTGAGATCAAACATTCACATCACTTCTTTGCTTGCTGTGAGCCCTGCCAACAGCTGCACCGGTGTAAGGCCATGGCTGTAATTACCACAATACTTTGTAATGATCAATATCAAGGGCATTTCTGGTTCCTTATACTGTTATACCACTTCTTTCTGTGCTTCTACA